AAAAACTACCTTGTTTGCAAGATGACATCTTATAGGTTTTTTTGACGTTTTATAGGTTTTTTACATGATACCCATGCAGATCTCTGATATTGTTTCCCGACTTATCAGACTATATAAAATTAACAGTTTGACGTAGTTGTTCATGCAAAACAAGTGGAAGGATCCCCTGTACATCACCTTCAATTATCTATCTTTAAACGATGCCCCGCATTCTTGGTGAATGGGGAACAATTCTTGCTTCTTTACGTGCACAATTACAATCATTATTGTCATTTAACAAAAAACTTTACATTGCGACCTTTGACTTCGAACGCTTCGACACGAAATTAATATAATGCGGCATTGAAATTGCATCCATTCAATGTAAAAGAACCTGTCTGATTGATAATTGAATTGGCACAAACACAACCACATTGGAAATCTTTTATTTTCTTGTCCTGTTGAGACCGATGTGATGAAATAGTAATTGACCGGTTAAAAAATGGTGACAAGTAGGTGTATTCCGTACTCCATATCTCAAGCTCATACTACATTTCTTTTCAGAGGGTCAGAAGGAATATTAAAAAAATATCCGAAATGATCTTCAGTGAAGCATTCATGTTTTCAGTTCAAATAGTAGCGTCGCTCGAGTACCGGCACCCCTATTACGTAACTGCGAATCATCATTGTCAGACGCAATATGACACTCGTAATCTCCTAATCGCCCTCGTTCCTACTAAGTACTAACTACGATCCATTTATCGTAGCCATATGGGGTCAACTGAGTCCTAGTAACATGCAACACAGGAAATTTGGCATCGTTTTTTGTCCTGGATTCCACGGCTGTCACCATTGTCGTTATCGACTGTGTCGTCTGTTATAACTATCACCAATGACAGCGTCATCGGTCATTTTGTTTAATTATGTCAGCATTACAGTTTGAAAAAAAATACAAAAAATCGAAGATTTGAAATAAATAAGGAGTGTTTTATCGAATGTTTATTACTGCAAGAGAACTTAAGAAAATGTTGTTGTGGTATATAAAGAAACGGCAGAGATACGGATTATTACGGAATTCTTAGTCTTTGATTGTTTAATACTTACGTTCGTGTTTTGACGAAAACAGTCCGCGTTCTGAGTTACTAGCTAAACATTTAAATCTAAGGCCAAAAGCGTACACTATCGTACCTCTGTACACCTTTTTTCGGACCTCTATATACATCCTACAGTAATGTTAATCATACAACAACAAGTTTGGTCCTAAAGTAGCATTTTAGACGTTTTGTCATAGCATTTTATAGTCAAAACAATATCATTTATCAAGGAAAACAAATTAGAAAAACTGCAAATTTCAAGAACATCCTCGAAGCCCCACGAAGTATGTTGAAACAGTTTTTTGAAATTTCCTTCTACTAATGAAAATTCAATCGAACTTGTTGGTAGGAACGGCAAAACTCTTCATATAAGATTTTTGGGTAGTCATGAAACCTACAAAATGAGACCACACGTAAAAAGATCCGACTGATAGCAAAAAAGTTATGGCGGAAAACGGAGGCAAACTGCAGGTTTTGGCACTTGTTGGTAATGCAACGATGGTTTCTCGCATATACATAAAATTATTTAAATTCTTTGAATTCGTTCTTCTAAATAACCACAACAAAATTGGAGTAGATTGGTCAAGTAGTTTTGAGAATTTCTAATTGCTTATTCCAAAACACCTGTTTTCCGGCCTTTACTACTAGTTTATTGAGCAGTATACAGCGTTAGTTCAAAGTGCATTTTATAGCAATATTCACTAGTTTACCTTGCCGACATGAGTCGCAAACCATTCCGGAAGATAAATATTGTTATGCAAGAAAACCAATTCAAACATTTCGTATTTGCGAGTAATTCGCAACAAAAGATGATGACACATCCGCTTTGTTTTAAAATCTGTATACAGTGGACCCCCGATAATCCGGCCCCTGTCTAATACGGTGCCCCCTGTTCTCCGACATGTCTTTGAATATTTATTACATACATACGTATTTGACAATCTTCGCTAATGTAGATCACGCAGGTTTGAACAGGTTACAACTTGTACGTGCCAGCGCTATCGTGCTCTACGCGTCAGCATTGTTTTACTTAGTTTGAATTTGACTACTGGTGATAGCGGTACGGCCTAGCGTGCGTTGATTGTTTACTATTTATTCATTGTGTATTAAGTATAGTACCTAGCAATGTCATCACAAACTCAGAAGCGAAAGCACAAAACATTGACAATTAAAGAAAAATGTGATATTTTAGACCGCTTAAATCGCAATGAAACTTTCAGTAGTTTAGCAAGTGAATACGGCGTAGGCCGATCTACAATTTATGACATTAAAAGAAACGACGAGAAGATCAAGAAGTTCGTGTCAACTACTGACTGCGGGCCAGGCAAGAGACAGACACTCAAGAAAGCTGAACATTCACAAGTGGAAGAAGCTTTGTACATGTGGTTTCTTCAGGAAAGAAATAGGCATGCACCAATTTCAGGACCCATGTTGGCCATGAAAGCTAAGTTCTTTTATAAGGACATAACAAAAAAAGATGATTTTGTGGCCAGCAAAGGATGGCTAGAACGTTTTAAAAGTCGTCATGACTTACGTTTAATGACTATTACAGGAGAGAAACTTTCTAACTGTGCCACCTGCATAGAGCGCTTTAAATTAAGATTTTTGCAAAAGGTGAACGATTTAAATCTTGTCCCGTCACAGGTGTCCAATGCAGACGAATCAGGGATTTTTTTGGCGTGTGATGCCTAACAAAACTTTTGTTTCTTGTAACGAAAAATCCGTACCTGGACGAAAAGTAAGTAAAGAGCGTGTAACCATACTACCATGTGCTAACACTGCGGGCACACACGCGCTTGAGATGATGGTCATTGGGAAATCTAATAAACCACGGGCATTCAAAAACATTGATTTACCTGTACACTATTACGGACAAAAAAGTGCATGGATGACAAAAGACCCTTTCAAAAAGTGGTTAGATGAATGCTTCGTACCTGAAGTTAGAAAATGGTTAAAAGATCATTTTCCTCAAAAAGCGTTGTTGCTTCTTGATAACGCTCCCTGTCATCCGTCTGAAGAAGAACTAACAACTGAGGATAAATGCATCACTGCGATGTTTCTTCCGCCAAATTGCACTGCACTGATTCAACCAATGGACCAGAATATCATTTAGTTTGTCAAGCAAGGCTATAAAAAAAACCTACTTCTGAGAGCCGTATCAAAAGACCAACCAATAGAAAAAACTTTAAAAGAATTTAATATGAAAGACTTGATTTTGCTCGTTGTCAGTCGTGGAATGCGTTACCGTCGTCAACTATTAAATCGTCTTGGATAAAGTTGTGGCCAGATATAGTCACCACTCCTAGTAACGTTCTACAAATCAGTGTTACTTCGGAGTTATAGAACAAGTCGCTACCGAAACAAAGATAAGTCCGGAAGATTTGGAAATCTGGTGCCGTGGAATGGATAAAGAGGAAAATGTTTTTCATGAAATGTCTGACGAAGAGATTATAAAAGAGGTTTATAATTATACAACAAACAATCAGGAAAATAACGACGACGTGATTGCAACTGCTCCACAAGTCACAGCTCAAGACACAATTAACGCCTTTGAGCTAGGTTTACAATGGGCTGAAGAGAATGGTACATCCTACAACGAACTTTTACTTTTGAGAAGACTGAGGGACAAAGCTCTGATCTCGCGTTATAACAACCTTAAACAAAAAAAAATTGATGAATATTTCCAAGCTTCATAATTTTATAAATTCATTAATGATTTTCATTAATAATTCTTGATTATTTTGGTACATTATGTATGTGCATTTATGCTTAATTTTATAATAAAACGTAAGCTCTCTATTGTTATTTAATTTACTAAATTCGACATACATAAACTATGTATGATTTGTACTTCATTGGATATTAATTTGTCGGATTACAAGGTACTCTTTTGTAAAAAATTGCGGACTATAGGGGGTCTTAGGCAGTGCTGTATAATCCGACAAATTCGATAGTCCGACACTGCCCTGCATAATGTTTGTCGGATTACCGGTGGTCCACTGTAGTAACGTATGTATTTCGAATATCGTAGCGCATTTGTGCAATTACTCACAAATACGAAATGTTTGAATTTGTTTAGAAGAAAAAAACGTAACCTTTGTTTTTCGCAGAAAAATAACACTTATCTTTCGGAATGGTTTGTGATTAATATCAGCAAGGTGAACGCGTGTATTTTGCTATTAAATTCTCTTTGAACGAACCCTGTATATTGCTCAATAAACTAGTAGTGATCGCTGGAAAACTTGTGTTTTGGGATAAACAATTATAAATTCTCAAAAATCTACTTGACCAATATACTCGAATTTTGTTGTTGTGATTTAGAAGTATGAAACCTATAGTTTTGAAGAATTTCAAGTAGTTGCGTGAAATTATCTCACTGCCAACAAGTGCCAAAACCTGCATATTGCCTCGTTTTTCGAGCATAAAATTTTTACTATTAGTCGGATCTTTTTACGTGTGGTCTCATTTTGTAGGTCTCGTAAATACCTAAAAATCTTATTTAAAAAGTTTTTTCGTTCCTGTTAACACTTTCAATTGAATTCCAAAAACAAGGTTTCTCATTATTTGTTGTCAAATAAAAAGTTTTCCGACAAAAATTGGTGTATTCATTTTATTCGTCCATGTTTTGAATACCCCTGTGAACAAATTGCACCAATAAAATCACACTTTAACAATTATTTCGGGGAAATTTGCTAATATGATCAGACTAATAGTCATAAGCCTACTCATAGTGGGATGGCCTTAAAGTTCTTAACTTTTTTAATACCATAAACGTCATTTTAAAAAGTCTATGTATCAGAACTTTCAACGTGGTTCTCTCTGTGTTAATGTTTTGTGGGGGTTTTCGGTGTTTTGTGCTGTTGCTTTTTCAATTTTCGTTTTTTTTTGTTTCATTCGTGCATAGAATTGACCAACAATGGGGGGCCAGGAGGCTGTCATATGTCGAAATCACAAAGGTAGAAGCTTATGACTACAATTAAGACAGTTATATAAACTCGCGCCAAACTTGTGATTGGGATTATGCTCATGGTTATCTCTACCCTCATGACTGACTATTGAAACGTTCTACAAACCACCATTAAGAGGTGCTTGATATCAAATGTGTAGCGCAAAGGAACACTTCAATGTGTACTTCTATCTGCATAACGGATTTCCCTTTGTTCCATAGTATCTGATTATAACATACTTTCATATTTGTTGCAATATTTGTATGGCCAATTTTTGTTTTTCAGAAAAAACTCACCGATAAACAAACAGGGGCAGTGATAGTAATGGCAAGAAGTGACAGCTGACATAACGTAAGGCCGTACGTCGCATCTCGAAACGATTATGGCGACATACGTTCAATCCAACACAAAAACTTGGCGACAAATATCAATCGTATTGTCTATCGACGATCTATGTTTTGTGGTAGTAGCAATGAACTGTCAACACTGATGGAACAGGCGGAACGCGAATTCATTGCGGCTAGAATGAGAAACGAGAAGGATAGCGCTAGTCAGGGCAAAACATTGGCAAAACATCGTGGTCCATTGTGGTATTTCCATATAATATGTTCTAAGGATTTTTGGTGAATGTTTGTTTTTAGTGACGTTAAAGATTAATAGTGATAGTTTGCGACAATTATTATAAACATTTTTATGCCGGACAGCCTTCAAGAGCTGTTGTTTTATGTGATATTTGTTTAAAAATGGTTGAATCTTGCAGTGCGATGAATTGTTGCAGTAAACGCAGAAAAGATGTGAAAATGAAGTTTCACAGGTTGGTTTTAATCATCTCTTTGTGTGAGAATTACCTGTTAATTGGTAATTCGAGGAAATATCTGGATTTTTAGGATACCTAGAGATCCTAACATGAGGAAGTTGTGGTTACATGCTATAAGAAGACAAAACTTTACTCCCAGTACAACAACGGTAATTTGTGAAAAGCATTTCACTCCAGAGGATTATGAAGTTAGTGTTCATGGAAATAAGGTACTAAAAAAGGTGGCAGTTCCATCTGTGTTTGATTTTCCAGCCTATCTCAAGAAAGAACCTAGCCATCGAAGGGTTTTGAAAAGAAAACATGAAGAATCCTACCCAAAAGCAACAGGTATGTTCTTTAAAATATTCCCAGTCTAGGCTTAAGGTTTTAACTTTTCTACTTTTAAAAAAGATATTTACAATGATGAAGTGGGTCTTAGTAACCTAATTATTTTTAGAACAAACTTTGGCTATTGGTGAAGTAGTAGAAGAACCTGAAAATGGTGATCATGCTGATGATGGAAATATATTGGCAGCTGGTCCGTCAAACATAACACAAAAGCTAGGATTTTTAGAATCAAGTGAACATAAAAACATATGCAATTTTAGGTAATTGTCATTGAACTTTGTGTTTCTCATTTGTTACAACCTCTTTTTGTTTGTAGGGTCAGAAGATCACCAGTATACTTTGGGGATTTAAAAATTTCTGATTTAAATAATGTGCAGCGTCAGAAGAGATTTTGGAAAACTGCTCATGAAACTGTTCATAAGTACAAAAAAATTAACAAGTACAATCAGTGTAAAATTCGTAAACAAAGAAATAAAATAAAAAGTCTGAATAGTCTGGTAGATACACTACTTAAGGAGAAGAGAATATCTGCAGCTCAGACAATAGTATTACCTGAATTATTAATTACTTATGTTAAATACTAATTATTATATCTTCAAATGTGTAAAGGAGAATTTATTGTCAAGTTTCATACATATGTACGAGTATATATAAATAAATAAACTTGGTTTTTTAATTATAATTACGTTTCCAGGATTTTATCTCGTTCCAGTTGCCTGAATAACTTTTAAAGTTTCTCTAAGAATCCTCGGTTTCCTATGCAATTCATTCAAGTCCGCGCGCTTTTTGCCCTGACTAGCTCCATCTCTCTCTCGGGCCTCTTTGTCGTATCTTGGCCGCATTATCGTTTGATTGTACAAATGGGACGGGGCGATTCCATCAGTGTTGACAGTTCATTGGTTAGTAGTAGTGATGTAAATATTCGGAATATTTTGATAACCGGTTACACGGAAACGGATGAATAGAATATTCGGATGAATCATCCGTAATAATATTACGTATCATCCGTAATATCAGGTGCCTCAGGTGGAGCCAATCCGGCAAATACATGCGGTTTTATGCGACCTGGCAACACGGAATACGGATGATTGAAATAATACGTGCAGTGTGCGCTGCATGTTGCATACTTATACGGATGAAAATGAGAACTCCTATTAAAAATCATACGTATTATTATTCTTCCATGAAAGTTTCTTCCGGACTTCTAATCTAACTTTCCGTTGTATGTTGTTGTTGTTGTTGCCTTGTTAATTTCATCGCAAAAAACGAAGAACGCAAATCACACACATTCCGTATTAAAAATAATACGTAATAAATTGATATTCGGCATATTACGGAATAAATGAATATTCGGATTGTACCGTTATTTTAATCCGTATTCCTACATCACTAGTTAGTAGCCGTGTGCCTTGCCTAAGCGTGATATCGGTGTGATGTGTTTTACTTAATGTAACACCTGCTTCAGAGATGACACTATGCTAAGCTGTATGCTGTAGCATTTCAGGCAAATAACGGTCGTTGTGCTGTTCCTCCATAGGTGGCGTTCACCGCGAGTGGGCTTTATGACGAGCTAGTATCTAATGCGAATTAAAGCAAACATATCGCTAGCATAGTGATTATTTTATACATTTATCACGTAGGCAGAACAACGGATAAAATGGTATATGGGAAATTGCAGAAATATTTTTGTATTCCTTACAAAAATCAACCTACTGCACGGTGTCCCATGAATCACGAAATTCCACTGCCTCAATGGTGGACATTTAAATCGAATTAAAAGTACGTTTAGACGTCCCGTAGTTCTTCCATACACAACTGATGCAACCGTTTTTGAGCCTAAAGTAAAAAAAAAGATGGAATATCTAAACGTCAGAAATATCTAAACATCAGAAACACATTTCAACTTTTTTGTTATTTATAATGGGGCACCTTTTGGTTTATGAGATCCCGGACTATCAGAATTTCATGAGCACTTCATTTGTTGAATAATAGCGAGTGAATCACCGTATAGTATCAAACATTATGGTTCCCACAAATTGATACTTTTATCTTATCATGTTAAGCTTCTTATCTATTGAACCGCATGGATGTTTCACTCGAAAAAACTTGGAAACCAATCCCTTGTTTAACGTCCTCCCAGTCCGGGAATGGGATGCTAGTCATTATTCATATACGACGTATGTGTGGATTTGACCCACATCCAATTTAGTTCCTTCTGAAAGACAAAATCAGTCGATAACAGCGGGACACTTGGATTCCAAATATAAATTTATCTCAATAAATTTCACATTTCATATGGAGTTAAAAGTTGATCATTAGGATCTTGTAGTCGATGAAAATTACTTTTGAAACATTTCTTCAAATAAATTCAAAACCATTCAACTTTTAAAGAAAGTAATAATCACATAATTCCAGAAGACGCCGACATTCTCATTCCATTTAACAACTTGATTATGCTGTTTTTGCATTTTGACATTTCTTTTTGAACGAAGTAAGTTTTTCATTGAAAACATTATAAGATTCCTATATAGAAAATGGATTCGAAAAGTAATGGCGGCACATAAAACATGTAAGAGAGACAGCACGGGACAGCATCCAGAAGGATTCCTCTCCAAACGCGCACACTGATCAGAAAAAGTAAAATGTCATTTGGAAGCCCTTTTGCGTCATTTTTTTCATTTTTTTTTGCTCATCTGAAAAAATTGATTTGTTTGCTTTCCGTTTCTGTAACTTATCAATGCGATATAGGTCTTAGGTCTAATCGTGGAGACAGAAAAACGGAAATAAGGTGAGGCCCTTACGTCCTCTGCCTCATAGCATAAAATCGCAGGACGTCGAGCGGTTATGGACTAGCGGATGTAAGGGTCTCTATGTCGTCTAATCGTCTACATCTATGCGATGAGGATGAAAACCAGTTTGGCAAACCAGTGGAACGTGGCATTAATCAGGTTTCCCGTCTATTTGGGCACAGTTTTTTGCTCATATAGCATTTACGTCAAGAGTGCTAACTGTAAATATTCCAGCCTTAGGATCTTACAGACTTCTGCATATTTCGTAAGTTCCACAGTGGATCCTTCTTAAAACGGCTTGCGCCAATTACCTGTTACAACTCTTGTCACTTGCCAAAATCACGTAACCTTTTTTTTCTATTTATCACTTACCAGTAATTTGAATTTCTCTTTATTAATAATAGAGTGCCCATTCCTAGGCCAAACCCCTTTTCAATGATTTTCTTTTTGCAAAATTTAATAGTTTATTGATTGTGTAATTTCACTCGTATTATATATTTCTTTCTCAGCGATTCAGTATGGTGTTCACGATCAGCAAAAAAACTCTGTAGTTTTTCTCCGTTAGCTGGTTTCCTATAAAACATATCTTCTTCAAGGCCACTCAAGATTCCTTCCTCTAGACCGTTACGTATTCTGCGTGATTCGCTTTTCAGTTTCCGTTAAGGTCGTGGTGCAGGGGTCGTTTTGTCGTTGTCTAGGATATTAGGCCCCAACCGCTCATTCATGGACTAGCACCCTTTTCTTTTTGTTGTGTAACTTAAGTTTAGTCATTTTGGTTTGGGTGCTACGTCTTCCATTTTTTGAATGGGATTTTGACCCTCAGCGGTAACGTCTTTTTTTATATACCTTCGGACATCGTGCCTTAATGTGTGTCCTGCTGATGTTCGTTCAATATCTGCTTTCTTTTTGTCAATAGAAACAGAAGAAAATCATCATCTTTTCTCTTCCAGTCAGTTGCATCGTTGCAGTTTTGCAAATTGGAAGCCATCCCCTTGAAAAAACCCTGATGTGAACAGGTAAAATATCATTATAATTAACAATTTCATAGATCTTTATACATTTATTATTGCTTATTGAAATTTTTAGACTTTTTGATTTTATTGGACATTCTACGTATTCCAATATGGGGGTAATGCCTACATGGCACCTTCTATTATCAATGAAGAGAAATTCAAATTACTGATAAGTGATAAATAGAAAAAAAAGGTTACGTGATTTTGGCACGTGACACTCCTTAGGCCCGTATCGTCAGTCGTCCCTATAATTGTAGGGCGCGTTTATGGCCTCCTTGATTGTCATACTCCTTTCTCTCCTTCAAAAATTTCTAGATTTCACTTGTCCCGTGTCAGCGTCAGCGCTCTCCTATTGTGAGTATTTGTTTTCTTTTTACATTGTAGGAAACCTTCAAAAATTTCTAGATTACACTTGTCCCGTGTCAGCGTCAGCGCTCTCCTATTGTGAATATTTGTTTTCTTTTTACATTGTAGGAAATTTCAGGCTGATAAAACATGATATAACTTAAAAGCAAGCACAATTTGATGCAAATAGATGTTTGTGACATAACCTCAAAATAGAGCGCTGACACGAAGAAGTAGAAAACTATGACAATCAAGGAGGCCATAAAGGCGCCTACAATTGTAGGGACGACTGACGATACGGGCCTTAATTAAGATCAATCGAATATATTTTATGCATTGGTTTATGGTAGGCGAACTATACGTTTGCTCACTGGGATATATTATCCTAGCATCTGGTATGCCTCTTTCCGCTTAGTCTACCACCACTGTGGCCTCACTCTTGAATGTCATTCCTTCTTCCATCTCTATGATCTCTATGGAATCACCAGTTAGTATGAATACTATAGACTAAAGCGATGACCCAGGAAAATTTCAGAGCTAACTGAAGATCGACATCAAGCGCTGAACCACCTTACGTTGGCTGAACGCTCCCAATGTGTTTAGACCCAACATGTCTAGACAGAAGCTTCGAAGATTCTCTTATGTCTAATACAAAGTATAGCAACTACAGTACCAATATCTGCACGTCCTTTCCTTCCTCGCTTGTTCATGTGCTTATGCTGTTATCAGCTTTATCGCAGTTATCTTCAACGTATTTAATTTTACGAAATGGGTTAGACTTAATTGTTGGGTAAATATTAGATATGTCTGTTTAAGAAGTACGGCGATGAGTTCTTTCCTTCAAACATGTTGATGGCTGTCCAAGCTTTATGCTATACGAGGGAGATGAAAGCGGTTCCCGATTTATTATATTATATTATTTATTTATTCCAAGTCGCAGTCATGTCTCCTTGCTTATTCCTCGCTAGCAAGTTCCCAGGTATGCGGATTATGGATTATGTTACTCTGACAAGAAGCTAGGAATATGAATAAAAAAAATTGGGCCAAGCCTGTCAAACAGACACATAGACTTTAGTTCTGGGAGTCATACGTAAAAATGAGCTGCCTAGGAAATCAGACAATGCTTACCCAGTGGGTGCGATAAAAGAGCTATAGACCCAAGAATAATACGTTTAGATTCAAAAGACTTCATCTACCTCAGTGAACCCATAGTGAAGTACAGCTTATATCAAAGTCCTTCAGCAGACAATGTTAATGTTAAATAGAGTTATCTATCGCTAGTCTGCTGGTTTGCCTGGCATTCAGCTTCAGTTCGACGGTAGGTCTGTGATCATAATTTTGACTGACATCTCGTCTAACAAAATACTTGCAGAATGAGATAAGACTCGCTGAGAAAAGAATTTACACGTTGTTTCCGTATTTTGTATATTATTCGTAATCTTCCAAAAACCATATATGACAATAATTTATCATTGACCCCACTCTTTGTCTCGCCGGTATGGATTTGATTTATTGTTGTCGTTAAGAAGAGCTTTGCTATTACTTTTCTTCACCGAATCGACGATACCAAATCGAAGAAATCATTTATGTATTTCTTTCATGAATTTTTAGAATCCTCTG